GGTTGATGTACATCATTCTGTAGTTGTTATGCGTTCTTGCTGGTTCTCAGTCCACAGAACTTCCTTTAGGATGTTTTTCATAGCCCATTTCATTTTTTGACATCTAATTTTCCTAGCTTCATACTACTTACATTCCATATTCTGATTATTAATGGATGTTTGAATCTTTTTCTCCTTATTTTGAATTGTGCCCCATCAGCAAATGAAGATCCCAAAAGTTTTCCTCCATTTGCGTCATCACTGTCACCTCTGCTTGGAGGAGGCAGCTCTTCTCCAGTTCTATGTTGAGTACCTCTCATCCTGAGGGGATCATCTTCCAGCATCATATCTGACAGTATTCTGGTGTGATTCGTAATGTTTTCATCTTTCGCTATATCTGACAATGTTCCACTGGTATTCATAAGGTTGTCAGTGGCTCACCATTTAGAAGTATTTGCCTCTCCTTCTTCCTACTGTGTCTCAGTCTGGAAGTGCCACTTCACCCCGTTCACCATGGGTGACCCTGCTGGTATTGAAAACACTAGTAACATAGCTTCCACCTTTTAGGGACCACCTATGTTCACGGTCATTTCCTCCTTTCTCCTGTTTGGTCCCAGTCTGCATTCTCACATCACATCATTCGACCTGGCCTCCCTCTTGAGGTCTCCTCTTCCACATGTAAAGACTCTTGTGATCAAGGAACCCTGGTAGCACAGCGGTTAAAGTGCTCAGTTGCTAACCTTGAGGTTGGCAGTTTGAACACACCAGCGGCTCCATGGAAGAAAGATGAGCTGTCTGCTCCTGTGAAGATTTGTTATTGTTAAGTGCTGTTGAGTAATTTCCAACTCATAATGCCCTTGTGTAGGGTTTGTGAAGCTGTAAATCTCTGTGGGAGCAAAAAGCTTCATCTTTCTCCCACAGAGTGATTGGTGAGCTTGAACTACCAACCTTGTGGTTTGCAGTCCCGTGTTTATCCTACAAAGGTACCATCCTCTCTTCCCATGAAAACTGTTCTTTTTATTGTATTGTTGTTAGTGCCATCTAGTCAGTTCCAACTGATAATGACCTTGTATAAGGTTTCCTAGGAGCGGCTGGTGACTTTGAACCACCAACCTTGAGGTTCATAATGACATTGTGGTCCAGTGCTTTATCGTACAGCACCACACCAGGACTCCCGTGATGATCACAGCCTTGAAAACCCTATGGAGCAGTTCTGCTCTGTTCTACAGATTGCTTTGAGTCACAGTCAACTCAAGATCAGCGGGTTTAGATTTTTGGGACTCATCCAGGGTAATCTCAAGTCACCTGATTATCTATTTAATTCTGTCTGTACCTTAGTTCCCGCATGCTATTAAACATAAAGTAGTCACTAGTTTTAGGCATTAGGGTTTAGACATATTTGGAGGGAAGGGAAGGGAATCATCTGTCTACCAAACCCAGTTTTTCTCAGTGAAGCTCCTTTCGGAGGGTCTGGTATAGAATGTTGTTGCTGAGACGTCTGCTGTCGTCTTAAGTGCCACTTTTTCTAGAATATTTTTACTGGGTCATCCTTGTAAGGTTTTTCGTTTTTCTCTTTGATGTTCTGCAGTTTTACTGTGATCTAGGTGAGTATGAATTAACCTTTCTAAATCCTGCTTAGCACTTACTACTGAAGGCCCTGACTTGCCGTTTCCGGCAATTATTTCTTCAAATACTTCTCACCATCAGGTCCTCTTTTCTCCTGTTCTGGTTCCTCTTGAACATCTACTGATGCCTCTTACTCTCTTTGGAGTCCTGGTGTGGCACTGTAGATAAACATTAGACTTCTAGCCTCAAGGTCAGCAGTTCAAACCCACCAGCCGCTCCTTGGAAACCCTACATAGGGTCTTAGTGAGTCAGAACCAGCTTGATGGCACTCAACGACAACAATTCTGTGTGAGGTTTTTTCTGTTGCTTGTTCATATGACTGTGTTGGGGATCTTTGTGTTGTCTTCTTTTTCAGTTTCTCAGTTCTGTCTTTTAATTCATTAATTTTCATTTCAACTAGCATTCAGCATAGAATTTATCCCATTTTCTGAGGGTGGTTTTATTTTAAATTTTAATGGTCTTGTCCCTTTTGTTATTTACAGTTTCTAATTTCATATCACCAACTACTCTTATTTATGTCCATTTTGTTTCACATCTTGTTCTATTTAGATCTTGTTAAAAGGACCAACAAGTCAGTTCTGATTTATAGTGACCCTGTATAGGGTTTCTGGGGAGCATTTGGTGACTGTGAATCGCTGACTTGTACAGACA